CCCCAAAACCCCAAAACCCCAAAACCCCAAAACCCCAAAACCCCATTGCACCAGAATATAATTGAAAGTTATAATAAATATGAACATTTGGACAATACTGCTAGCCTTGAGTTTACTCAACCTCGGACTAGCCCAGCAAGCATGCTCAGTAGATGAAGACTGTAAGGATGGATTCGAGTGAAGAGAGTTTGTGGAATGTAATGATTTTGGATGCTCAACACCTAACTATCAGTGTTGGCCTTCTCAAGACCAACCAACTAGTTTGACCTCTGGTACAGGCTCAGGGGGTCAAATGAGGACACAAACTAGCTCACAACGTAAAGCTCAACCTGAGAATAGGGTACAGCAAGATGATTCACAAGCACCTGGAGAAACTCCTGCGCATCAAGCTAGCTCAGCAGCATCAGCTGCTGCTGTGGCTGAAAGCGTTCCTTCTGGTCCTTCTCGCTTAATCATCAGGACTAGGAACAACGATGATTCTATTCTTCGATTTGATTCTACTAATAATGACTTTTCATACAGTTTTAGGATGAATCCTTCTGAAAGAAGATTTGATCTAAGACATGGGCCAACATCAATCCTAAGATTTAATGAGGATGGCTCAGAAATCCAGTGAGGAGAGGACGTCATGCTTCGGACAGATGCTCTTGAAGTGCAGGGGTTGTGGAGATTCAGCGATTCTCAGCTTTATTATAATGGTGTGCCACAATGGAAACTTGTTCATGATGAACTTTTTAGAGTTGGGCAGCTTGCAGAAGGATGGTCCTTACCTGACTCCGTCACACAATGAGGAGCAGTACATATGTTAGGAGGATATTGAGCTACATCTAACGAGAACTTAGTAAAAGTTTTCGATAATTTACCTTCCCACACAAGAATTAAAATAGAAGCTAATTTCCACTTTTTAGACTCTTGGGGAGGTGAAACTGCCTTTTTAAGAGTCAGTGAAAATGAAGAACTAGGAACATTAAACTATGCCTGGACTGATTCATATGACTATGTTTCAGCTAGGAACGCAGTAAATGTTTGCGGAAGAGACATTGGAGATGGAAAATTTAACTCATTTATCTCATTTGAAATGCTACATTCGTTCAACCAAATTAGAGTAATGTTTGGAACATCTCTTGAACAAAAAGCATGAGCTGCTTCATATGGAATATCTTCTTTCAGAATATATGTTTTGTAATTCCCAGATAATCATGGTAAAAATAAGTCTCATATAAATAGTTTTTCAATAGTCTACTCTCAAATCGGGGTTTTGGGGTTTTGGGGTTTTGGGGTTTTGGGGTTTTGGGG